AAACCACTTCCTAGATTTGTACTACCAGTATTGCCAAATCCGGTATTATGCATATTGCTTGCACTGCCTCCAAATCCAGTACTATTGGCTAACTGGCTGCTATTTCCATATCCCATCATATTCTGGCTACTGCCAAGTGTGCTTTGACTGTTATATCCTGTCTGCTGGGGCTGTCCCAGTCCGCCAAACATATTACTAGATGCTCCTCCTAGCTGACTCATTCCTCCCAAGTTACTGCTACTTCCCTGAGTATTATTCATGTTTACTCCCTGCTGGCTCTGGCTTGGGTTATTGTAGTAAGACATAAATTGTAAAAATATATTTCAGAAATAAAAAGAAAGAGAAAACACCCGCATTTGAAATAAAAAATAACGGACATGAAACCATAATAAAAAACAAAATGCACAGAGCATGAAACAGCTCTAATCACGGTATTACTGGTCTATTGTGGCACACTGCCAAAACGGGCACTTATCCATATTTCTCTGGAATATAATTCGCTGTTTTTCGTCATAGCAGGAACTGCGCACAAAGTAAAGACAAAAACGAATAAAAGACAAAACCACACCGATCAAAAGATGGAGGGTGTCTATATAAGAGGAGAAAAAAGCATTGGGCATGCATAGAAATAGTATCTTCAATCTATTCATAGTAGTACTAGCTATAATATTTATTGTCAACATTGTGACACCAGTTGCAGCAGCAGGCCAAGGAGAGCCATCTGCTGGTCCAGCTACTGGAGGCTCTGTGGTGAGTATCTTCAGACTACCTCTATGGTCATTCAGCCAGACAGAAAGCACCTGGGGATATGTGTACAAGTCATCGATCAATGTTATCACGTACCCTTTTGTTCTGTTCTGGAATGTAGGGTACAGAACAATTGTGGGGCCACTGCCAGACCACTGGATGTAGATGTATCTTATTCTATCTATGAACAATAAATATAGATTTGTTAGTTTTTTAGCACTCTGACAGTTGGCTATTTCTAGCTCATATTTTCTGTTCATACTTTCTTTTTTCTGCATTGTTGTCTATAAATGATAAAGATTACTACATTATAAATAATAAAATTTGCTGTAAAAATGAAAAAATTTACTGCAATCCGTTTCTACATGGGCTCTTATTCTGATGTCAATAAATTTAAATTTATTTAAATAACCCGAGAGATGAAAATACTATTCAGAGGAGGGCTTGAGGACAAAGTCAACTCAGAAACACTTCTTTTAAATATATCGGAAATAAAGAATAGTATTTACCCAACTGTAGAGAATGTAGAAATAGTAGCCAAAGATCTTATCCACTACATAGAGCTAAAGCACATAAGAAAAGGGTACAAGCACTTTTCAACTGAAGGAGAGCTCGAAGGAGGCATACTCTGTATGATAGATAATGTGGATTGGGAGCTGCTCAAAGAGCACCAAACACCTTTAAAAAATAATTATACAATTCGCTTCATAACAACTATGCACGGGGGATAGAGAGCCATCCTTAGCGCGCTAAATAAACTAAATATATCTATCTTTTCATTTTTTAATTACTGATTGTAAACACTATCTATACACTGTGCTAAAAGTCTTTGGAAAATCAAAACTATTGTAAACTTCTATTTATTAAAGTGAAAATAAAAACATTTATGCGCATTTATTCGTTCTCGCGCTCATAGACATTCATGTTGTGCCCCGGGTTCAGTATTAGCGAGCTGAAAAAACACAAAATCTGTTTCAAGAAGTTCTTGAACTTGTCGTTTCTTCTGAACTCAACCCTCAGCCTCACCTTCTCCAGACCAAACAGGACAGCCATCGTCAGCAGGATGATAATGAAAATTTTGTTCATGTAGAAGGTTAGGAACCCTGCAATCAAAAGATAGCTGAAGATAACGTAAATCCGAGGAAGTATCTTTTGAATCAGCGAGCTTACATTATACTGCGCCTTCTCCTTCTTTTTCAAGTAGTAGAGTGCGCCATTTACATTGACCAGGGAGTTTCTGTTCACCAAAATATACTCATTGTTCTTCCCCACTACCTTTACTCTAACAAGACTGCTCTCTTCTGCTGGATGGCCTGTACTTTGGCTGTTCTGGACGGTTTCCTCTATTATTTCCTGTTTTTTATTTTTGCATTCTTTTGTTTCCTCTGTTGCGCTAGCCTCCTTCACTTCTTGTTCTTCCTGAGCCTCATCTGCTTCCTTGCTTGAAACTGTGCATTGCTCATTGGTACTTGCAGCTAGAGCACCAGATGTCTCCAGTGCTTCATTGTTTTCACTGTTTGCCTCATCTTCATGCTCTTTGTTGCTTTGCATGGCCTCGTCATCCAGCTCTACATAGCTTATTTCTACTGAGTTGTCAGCGGAGTTGTCCCCCTCCTCTTCCTTAACTGCCTCCTGTGCTGAGGTGTGCTGCGATTCAACATTTTCTTCTATCTGACCATCTGCTTCTTCAGTGTTTGTTGTTTGCCTGTCTTCGCTCACTTGCACTTCTTCTTCTCTATCTATGCTGCTGCACTCTGACCTGTTCATGGTTCCGTCTTCGCATGTATTTTCTGCCTGTTCCACCTGCTCTGTCTCTCCGTCCTTTTCTTCTGCAGCCCTGTTCTCCATGCTTTCCTCTGTTTTCGAATCTTCGTGCTTTGTTTTTTCTAAAATTTTTATATGTTTGCTGACTATCGCCTTTATATCTACACTTCCTCCTTTCAGTAGCTCCATGTAAACATCCGAGTCTGTTAAAATGCGCTCCTTGTGGAATAACTGAACGTCCTCTATTTCATACTTTGTTTTAAGCTTGTCCTTTATTTCTTCAATTGTTCTGCACTCGTTTGCGTTAAACTCATTCACATCTGAATTGACTTCTACTCGTACTATTTTCTCTTCCATGCTTTCTTCTATTTTCAGAGCTTTATAAAATTAGTAGCCAATAAAAATTTTTAATTATACTCCAATAAAAAACATATCTAAACAAATAAAAACTACTTTGATACTGCCTGTTTTTCCGCCTTATTCTGTCTGTACAGATTCAGACGCGTTGTCTCTATGTGCACCGGGTCAAATAAGAAGCTCACGCGGAGCCCGTGGATGATCTCGTCAATGTTCCTGTTCTTTCGCGCACTTTTCTCGTGCTCCAAATACCTCAGCATCCTTACGATCAGCACGGGGCTCAAGTACTCCCTGTCCACTGTCTTGATAAAGCTGTACAGCTTGGGGGGCAGAAACACTTTGCTCTCGTTTGCGTCAATAATGTCGACATCCTCTGCCTCTTCAAAGAACTCTGCCACTTCTCTTCCAATTGTAATAAGCTTTACGGGGTGGTACCTCATTTCGCTCACTTTCACATACAGCAGCTTAAGAGACTTGCAGTTTATGCAGACAGCTCTTTTTTCTTTTCTTATAATGTCGATTACGTTCACGCACGTGGGGCAAGACTTTGGACAGGTGAGTCTTGTGCACGCGTTCTTTATTTTGACCATTGAGATCAGCTTGTTTATCTCTTCCAGCCACGTGGTCACCACGAGGTCGTACTTTAAAATCAAAATAGAGTCTTCTTCTATTTCTTTCACGATTTCCTCTGCCCATTTGTATATTATCTCTTTCTTTAATACGTCACTTGCCTTCATGCAAATAAAATTTTAAAAGTACACTTTGCTTCATAAAAAAATAAAAATACACATTACTAAAATAGCATACGGAACATGTTTATTTCTAAATTCTTTTTCGTTCTCATCGGCGCACTACAAAAATAAAAAGAAAAACAGAGCTATTACAACAAGAGCATGAACAGAAGTATTAGAAGAAACAGAATGGTAGAAATGCACAGAGACAGAACAATGGTGATATCCAGTTATTTTGTAGCACTTTGCTAATATAGCCAAGCAACAACTCGAGAATGCTATGAAAAACTGTTACCGATGCTTTTAGTACCTAGAGAGAATAGCTGATTAGCAGACATACTGTGATTAGTGTGACAATAAGCTGATAAAAATAAATAACAACTATGGCATTTTATTGATACGATGGTAACCATAAATAGCTGGCTCTATGTACTTCGGAGGATGCTTATCACGGATGTCAGCATTCTTATTATCAGCCCGTCTGAGATGGAGAGACCAACTATTCCGAAGACTGCAGCTCCTGATAGAGGAAGAAGATCAAACACTTCTCTTCCCTTTCTCCAGACGTATCCATCGGCAAACTTTGCACCGCTCACACACCCCAGTAAAAAAGATATCATTACGCAGTGGAACGCATAGAACAGAATAAACATCTTGTTGCCTCTCTTTCTCTCTCTGAATGGAGCACCTGGCGTGTAGACAAGGCCAGAGTACAGGGCCTGTATGTTTGAAATAAGAAATATCCCCGATGCCATCTGTGATGTTTCCGAAAGTCTGTTTGTTCTGGGCGGCAAACTGTTCGTGTGGTGCAGATAGTGCATGTACTGCATGAGAATGAACAGATGGACACAGTGGGTCATGCAGTGGATGAATATTCCGTATATAACTGACTTTTTAAGGAGCCTTTTCTTGGGTTTTTTTCTGGACAGTTTCTGCGCGCATTGGAAGCGAGACATGACCAAAGAAAGCGGAATGTTTATGAGAATGTCGGTGTAAATGTTCTGCATATCAGACATGAACAGGCGCCTAAATAGGAGAATGAAGAGAGCATTGAACTGGGAGATCGTTATGATCAGAATCTGCTCTATTTTGCTGAGGGTTGTATTGAGGGCACATTTTCCCTCTTTTATTATGTCAATGAGACACGACACTTCTTTGCCGTACGAAATATAGGAGGACGCACAGTACTCTACAGCGCTGTCTGAGCTGGAGAGAAGAGAGACCCCTACATCTGCGCTCTGTATGGCATTGCAGTCATTTGCGCCATCCCCTACAAAACACACCAAGTCTGTTTCTCTGTACATTTCCACCACCGAGCTTTTCTGGAAAGGATTCATTCTGGCAAAAACCTTACATCTTTTTTGGAGTAGACTTTTGTACTCTTTTGATTTCATCAGAACATCAAACAGATGGCCTTCTATCGCCACGGCATAGTCAATATACGAGCTGTAGTCATGTCCCTTTCTTACCTTCATCAGCACTTTGTCAAAAACAACATTGTCGTTGATGCATGCCCACTCTACTGCATCAATGCAGAGTTTGGCGCCAGATGGCACGACAGGATATATCACAGGGACATGGTGCTCAACTATTCCGCAGTGCATCCCCACAGATACAGCAGTGAACAGGGCATCGCCTGTGCACATTATGCTCGATATTCCGGCCTGCGTGAGGATATTAATCGTGTCTCTAGAGTTCAATTTCAGCTTATTTTCGAACACTATAGTGCACAGCAGATGCAATGCACATTCTGCATCCTCTCTGTCCACATGCACTTCATTCACTGGTTTATACGCTAGAGATATAACTCTATACCCAGCACGGGTGTACTTGCTTACTAGCTCGTCATTATTGCTCACTTGACTACTATTTATCAGGCTAGAACTACTCTCTATTTCATTTTCATCTGTTTCATTCCTGTTTAGATTGCTGTCTGTTTCATTCCTGTTTATACTGCTATCTGCTGTATCTCTATCTAGTAATATAGAAGGGCTGATATGTCCATCTATTGTATCATCATTGCTTATTTCTAGCGTATTTCTATCTCTATCACTATTTTCCGTTCTATTGGTGACTAATAGGGGCGTTTCACATATGTCCCTGATGGCTTCGGTTGATCCCTTGGAGAATGCGTACAGCTGCCCATTGATTTCAGAAATAACTGTCATTCTTCTGATATTTGGGTCAAAGTCAAATATTTCTCTGATTATGCCTACTTTCTTCTCTTGTGCATGTATTGTTCTCTGGATCTTCTGCATGTGCGACGAGTATTCCACACTGCCTCCTGCAAACTGGAGCAATTTTATATCCAACGGGTCACCAACCAGTCTGTCTCCTATCTTCTCTACCGAGTGGCACAGGCTGATACCCTGCCTTACAAGTGGGTCTGATATTTCATCAATTGATGAAACCTCCACACCGTTCACATTTATGCACTTTATGTCCAGCCCTTCTTCCGTCAGAGTGCCTGTTTTGTCAAAGCACACTTTGCTGATGTTTCCTGCCACATTGCTTATCGAAATGTCCTTGCACAGAATATTCTTCCTTAGAAGCCTTCTTGAGCACATTGCCATTCCTATCCAAATGGCTGTGGGGAGCGACGGAGAAACCAAAGCGTACACCAAATCGAATATGTACAGTATTAGAATGTGTGCAGGCAAAAAGGACTGCAGGTACACAAACACAGAGATGCCGCATGGAACCATAATAACAGCAATGATGCTAATGATCTTCATTGTGTCAAAATACACAGGAGGCCTTGTGAGCTTCTGCTCTGCTAGATTCCTGAACGCCTTCCCCCGGGCTGATCCGTACGATATTCTCACACTCTTCACAAGACAATAGTTGTTCGAGTCTATGAACTTCTGCAGCTCTGGATGGTTTATCTCGTACTGCCCCGGGGTGCTCTCAATGATCGCCTGCAGAATAACTGATCCTGCCAATATCTCTGCGTTCTTTTTCTTCAGCACAGGCACAGACTCGCCTGTCACAAACCCTTCGTCCACAGCCACTGTTCCATCTACTACGACACAGTCGCACGGCACTTCAGAGTACGGAATAAAGACGAGCGTGTCGTCCATGACTATATCTGTCTCCTGCACTAGCACTATCTCTGATGGCTTGTTCTTCTCCTGCAGCAGCAAAAACGAATTTTTTTTTGTTTTTGATATTCTATCAGACTGTTCGTTTTTTCTTATTTCAGTTCTTACTTCGTTAACGAGGTTGTACGACATAAGCAGAAAAATGATGAGGGCATATATGTAGTAGTCGATGTAGACCCACAGTATTATTCCAAACATCGTATAGACGTTTATGCTGTCGAACAGAGAAAGAAAGAAAAGATGGAAGGATCCATCTCGTCTGGTGATCAGCTCATTTTTTCCAAACAGCACTTCTCTTTCTTTTCTGGTGAGTGTTTCGATGTATCCTGCGCCGTTGGGGAGATGGTACTCTTGAGAGACCCAGTTGAACACCCTTCGTGTGCTGTTTACGAACGCATACTTGTACGTATTGTTCCTGACGTATTCGTACATGATGTCCGTTATGTCTTCTTTTTCTATTTTTTCTTCGTAGACATCTGACGACCTCCCATCGCATATTAGTATATCAGCGCACTCTATTGATACGGATTTGGTCTCCAGATGCAGTTTAACAGACGGGAAGGACACGCACAGAACATGAAACAAGCCCAAAGTCATCCCAGAAATAGTGTAGTATACTTCTCTGGATAGCCTGCGTTTCCTTCCCACTATGCGGCTGTTATTCTTTTCCTTGTTAAATGTTCCCATGAGGAGTTAAAAAATTAATCCAAATTATTATTATACGGGGGCACGTTAGACCAATTATTAAACAGGCTGAACAGAGAAAACTTGTGACAGAAGAGGGAAGTAGAGCACAGAAGACGCGTCGGAAGCATGCAATGCACAAATAAACGGGAAATAGTCCAGTGTGCATATTGTTATACGAATTAACAGACAAGGGTGGTTTTGTTTGTTCTATAGTGGCAATTTTATGCAACTTGTTTTGATTATTTCTATTTTCGGATGTTTGATGACTTATGTGCTTGTAGATTACATAGAACTGTTAAGATGTGAGCATATGTGTTCATTGTTATACAGTAAGAGACAGTTTAAGAGTCAATCATCAGTTACTGGTGATAGAAAGTTGTTATTCTTTCTTTAATCCTCTGTTTACCATAAGTCAAAGTCTATACTTATTTCTTGTTCATAGTTAGGCTACTATTATGACGATTCTATGAAGGAATTACACTACGTCTGATGTAAAAGTCAATGAGTGAACTGGTCTGAAGATAATGTAGTGATTTATTAATTGCAGACTTGTAAATGTTAGACGTATGATATTTACTGTGCGTCTTGATGACTTGTGCCAATGTGTTTGTCGTCTAGTTATCCTTATCATCTTTAGCTTCTGAATGTATTGTATTCATGCTCGCGCCATCTAAAAATAAATATATTCATGCTTGTTTTTGTTATGATGCCAATTTGGTATATGAATTATAAATTAATTTATGACAATATCAATTTAGCACAGGCATCAGTAAAGAGAGCTATTTATTTTGTTCTCTATGAATAATTTTTAAAAAATATAAACAATGGATAAGAGGTTGCAGAAAGATGACTTAATAAAATTAAACAAAGATGTAACAGAATGGGAGGAAAAGTTGTCTGCTTGGGAGAGGGAAGTAGATAGCTTACGCTATTTATTAGATAAGCATCCAGAGATTCATGAGATAGATTCACTTAAGTGGGCGGCAGAAAGGGTAGGAATACTTGAAATGTGGACCAAGGCATACAAAAAGCTGAAAAAAGAAAGAGCATTAGATTACTACAGCATGGCTTTCGAAGTAACTTCCCATCTAGAAGAAAAAATAGATGAAATGCAAGAAAAACGTGATAAGAAAGAAGAAGAGTACGATTTACAACAGAATAAAGAAAGAAAGAAGAAAGAACTGGAAGATGATATTCAGAAAAAAACAAACGAAATAAAAGCACTGAAAGAGCAGTTAAGCTTGTTGATTTAGCGAGGTAAACCATACCCTTTTTGGAACATGTTTTACAGAGACTCTACGAGATAATATGCAAGACTGCAAGACCAATATAACTCCGAGTTGATATCACTTATTGTCTATTGATTTGATTAGTGATTAGTGATTCATGATTAATCAAATAGATTTACTGATCTTATCAGTTTTGCAAACTATCTAAAGAGTTTACATTCAATAAATTATTCAGTGTTCTTTTATGTTTTCGAAGAAAAAACAGCTATAAATAATTTTAAATAAACTTATTGGTTTTGTATATGGTCCACAAAAATAAAAAACTACTAGTATCATTTCTCTCTTCAAAATAATTTTATTTTATCTGTTTATTATTCTATTTAATGGCGTACTCTAGTTATAATATCTTGCACTAGGCGCTCTCCTGAAGAACTGCCTGGCCTGTGCCACCGACATGTCTATGCTCAGATTCACATTGCTAGTCTCCAGGTGCCTTTGGATCCATCGTGGCAGCTGAGTCTTCTTTTCTGTGGCATTAAATCGCCTATCTGCTAAAACAGCTAGCCCATAGTCTGTGCTAGACCGCAGTACACGCCCTATGCACTGCGCTGTTTGCCTCATTGCATCAAAAGAGAGAAACTCGCTCTCTCTGATGCCAAACTCGCTGCCCAGGAACTCAAGTCTTTTTTTCAGCTTTGGATTCTCAGTGTACTGATATGGCACGCCAAATACAAGCACGCCTCTGCCGTAGCATCCAGAGAAATCCACGCCCTCTGACACTTTACCACGGGCTACACTCAGCATGATTCCTCCTCTGCCCGACTCGCACGACTGTCTGTATCCCTCTAGGGCCCGCTCTGTTTCTTCGTGGTCAAATGACTCTACAAAAATAAGTTTATTTTCAAGGACTTTTTTTATCATTCCGCTTTCAGACCACGCAGACACAGCTTCCTCCAGATACTTGTACGAAGGAAAGAAGCACACAAGGCCGTCAGGCACTGATACAGCCATTTCCAGGAGAAGATTGCCGTAGTTCCTTACTACTGCAGGCTCAGTTCGTAGTGAGAATGTGGTAGATACAGCATTTGAGGATTTCTCCATGGCAAGGGTCATTTGGTCACTTCCTTTTGTGACAATAAGGGCACACAGGCCTCTTTTTGACGATGCATCGATCTCTACCGATTTTACAGGGATAAAATCAAGAAGACGCGGATATATTGAGATGGGGCTTAGCGTGCCGCTTGTTATGATTACATTTCTATATCCAGATAGCACTCTTTTTGCAGCAATAGATGAGTCCAGGCAAGAGAGGTGTAGAACTGGCTCATAAACCGAGTAGGAGTTGAAAGGCTCAAAAATAACGGAAAATCCCTTTTTGAACTGTCCTGCGAGAGAACAAAAGTCGCACACCCGAGATAAATCGTAGTAGTCTTCAGAGAATCCAAGAGACTCCATTTCCCCCATTAATTCACGCAGTCTCCGCGACAGATGAACAAGTGCTGAATAATCTACAAACACACTTGACTCCAGTGCCTTAACGAAAGAGTCTGTGGGCTCTGATGACAGATTTACATCTTTCAGCTTGGCCTTGAAAAATTCAACGATTCTCTTGGCTGCTGATATGAATCCGTTCACCGTGCGCAGTGATCCCGGGAGTAGAGCAGTGCATTTTCTGCTGGACTTGTGGCTCTCCAATAGAGAGGAAAAGTCGCTTTTAATTCCCTTCCCTCGGGCATAGCTGCTTCTTTTTATCTCATCGCGCGTGAATGTCTGTCCAGATGCGTAATCAGAGATAAGGGAAAGAGTGCGCCATGCCTTATCTAAAGTTGTTCTGTTAATTCTTACAGAGAGCACTTCTACGCACACGCTGTCTATGTTGTGTGCTTCATCAAATACCACTGCGCAGTTGCTTCCAAGATCGCTGCAGACAAGCTCATTTATTCTTGGATCAATCATGTAGTTATACGTATAGACAATGCAGTCTGCTAGGAATATAGAAGAGCGCGCTGTGTAGTACGGGCACACCCCATTGACTCCTCCTGTTTCTTCCCTTAGTTCTGAAAGTGTGTGTATGCCATTGGAAAGAATATACGATGATCCGTCTGTATACTTTTTATAATATGGACAGTTTGTGTTTTTTTCTTCTTTACATCTTCTGTTTATTTCTGAGGGATTTCCTGTATTTACGTTCTCGTTTACGCAGAGTGTTCTCCTGGCAGCTAGTCCCACGCCGAGATACTCCAGATCTGGGATGTATGTGCGTATGTAGTTGTACAGCTCCTTCAGCTCTTCCAGGACTTTCTGTATTTCTGCAGTTGTTCTCGTGCAGTACACGATCTTGAATATTCCCTCTTTTTTTTTAAATCCTCCCGTGTTTTTTATTTTCTCGTGTCCTACTCCATTTGTCATGAGATGAATTTGGTAGCTCATTAGGAAGCTGAGAATGGAGACTGTTTTTCCTGTGCCTGTGGGCATTTCAATGAGACAGTGGCCCTTGCCCTGGACGACTTCGTAGAGCTCTTTGATGTACTGCATTTGTTCTGGGTATATTTTGTCCTTTGGGAAGAATACTTCGATACTTCCCATCTTAATAATCATAAATAAAAAATAGCAGCTGCATAAAACAAGAAGAGAATAAAATAAAACCATTCCAAAAGAAGAAATAAGCAGAAATAAATAGAGAATAGCAGGAGAAAGTGCAGAAACAGAATGATCTTCTCGGAATAAATAAAAATCATAAAGATAAACAGTAAAAACACATAAAAATTATCTAAATCAAGATAGGAATGAATAATTCTAGAGAGAAAATGTGATAGTTCTAATCAGATATAAATATTTATTAACTGTTCTCTAATGCTCAGGAAGGGCTTCGTACATGTTCTCCTGTCCTTCTCCCACAGCTCTTTCTTTCTGGTGGTTTACGAACTGTCCCATTCTGCTTTGTTCTATATTCAGATCTATTAGATCATCGCTTGCACTTGGCAGCTCTGTCGAGCCCACAGGTACTTTGGTTGAAAATCTGATCTTTCCTATTTGCAGATCTCTTAGAACCATATACGAGGCTATTCTCTTATCAGGAACACCGCCCTTGGCCATTTTGCCCCACTTCAGGGCGAGAGAAATAAGAAGCTGTTCTTCTGTCTCTGGCTCTACTATGTTGTAAAGCAGCGCAAAGTTTGCTCCTCCTATCTTTTTGAATATAAATGATACGATCTCATCTGGGTCAACTTCTGATGTGCTGGCTCTAAGGGCCGCGCTAACAGGGTTGCACTTATTGTAGATAATCCCAGGAGAGTCTATCAGCCTAATCGATCCACCTAGGACCAGATGCTGCAGAGTTTTTGTCACTCCCGGCGTATTCTGCACTTCGCACGATTTTTCTCTTTTTAGCGAGTTTATTAAGCTGCTTTTTCCCACATTTGGGCACCCAACTATTCCCACAGTTACAGATCCGCCAGATCGCGCATAGTTATTTAGAAGATTCATCAAATCCTTCACGCCGTATGCCTCGGCTTTTAGCTCTGTTTTCTCTGTGTGTCCTATTCTTGTTCTCTGCGACTGCGTAGACGCTTTGAATGGAACTGCAGGGGCGTAGTTTCTTAAGTATGCTAGCCACGATCCCCAGTTCTCTCTGTCCACCAAGTCTATCTTGTTTAGAATGTAGACCAGCTTTTTATTATGGCTTAAAATGATGCTTTCAACCTCTGGTGCTCTGCTGCCAATGGGGTCTCTGGCGTCGAGGACCTGCAGGATTACGTCTGACTCTGAGACAACTTTGTGTATTTCTTTGATGTACTTTCTGGAAATGTCATCTGTGTCGTTTTGCTGCACGTTTGTCTTTTTGTTCTCCATGTACAGCTTCAACCGTCTTTCTGCGCTTTCTCTTATCTCTCTAAGAGTCATCTTCTCTTCTTCGGTTTTCACTGCTTTGAACGGCCCTGTTATCTCTCTCTTTTCTCTCTTTCTTTCCTGTCTTCTGGTCTCTTTGTCTGCTCTGGATGCTTTTTTTCTTAAGTTTTCTCTGCTTTTTGTGGTTCCTCTCTTGCTTAGTCTTTTCTTTTCTTTCATAAAAAATTTGCAAAGCTCCGTTGTGCCGTTTATGTACAGAAAATATCTCTCCACGTTTTCTATTGCTGCGCGTAAATAAAGAGCAGAGCAACAGGAGAGTGCATCTCTTCTGTTTATTTGTGTCTCCTAAACGAATGCCTTCTCTTACTCTGCTGATATTTCATGATATAACGTATTTTACCTTCGTTTTTCAGGTGGAACAAAAGTATCTTGCAGAATGTGCATGAAAATAAGACCAAAGAGCTATCCATCCCGCCTAAAACAAAATAGAATGAGTTTACAAGCAAGTACTCGCGTGGATTGGAGAAAAAAAGAACAAAAGAATTTACAAGAGCATGAAAGCAATTAAAAATTAGCATGGAAGAATCCCCAATAATATTGCACTATATTCACTAAGATCATCGAGCGATCATTGGCTAACGAACAACTAGAAAGCACTAGAAAAAAACAAGAGTGCATTGCAGTGATTGATGATACCATCTAGAATCTAGCGGGACAAATGACAGATGAATGTGCAAAATAACAACAAGTGATTTATTAATCTGAGGGACTACGCGTGCGCATACTCTTCTTCATCCACAGTTGCATCCTGGTACTGCTGGTACTCGCTGTATAAATCATTCATGTTTGACTCTGCCTCTGTGAACTCCATCTCGTCCATGCCTTCTCCAGTGTACCAGTGCAGGAAAGCCTTCTTTCTGAACATCAAGCTGAACTGGTCGCTGATTCTCTTGAACAGCTCCTGAATGGCTGTGCTGTTCCCGATGAACGTAGAGGACATCTCAAGCCCTGTTGGAGATATATCGCACACAGATGTTTTGACATTGTGGGGAATCCACTCGACAAAGTTTGCAAAGTTTTTCCTCTGTATGCTGAGCATCTGTTCATCTACATCCTTCATGGATATTTTCCCTCTGAACATCGCAGCGACTGTAAGATACCTTCCCTTCGTGGGGTCGCATGCAGCCATCATGTTCTTTGGGCTGAACATCTGCTGCGTAAGATCTGAGACAGAGCTTGCTCTGTATGCGGTAGATCCCTGGGCTGTCAAAGGAGCAAAGCCAACCATGAAGAAGTGGAGGCGCGGGAAGGGTATCATATTCACAGCCAGCTTGCGCAGGTCTGCATTGAGCTGTCCGGGGAATCTGAGGGTAGTTGTTATTCCGCTCATTACAACAGACACGAGCCTGTTTAGGTCGTTGTACCCTGGGTTAGAGAGCTTCAGAGTGTTGAAGCAGATGTCGTACAGAGCTTCATTGTCTATGCAGAAAGTTTCATCGCTGTTCTCCACCAGCTGATGGATACTGAGGGTTGCATTGTACGGCTCTACAACTGTGTCGCTGACCTTGGGCGATGGAACCACACTGAAAGTGCACATCATTCTTTCGGGGAACTCTTCTCTTATTTTGCTAATTAGCAGTGTGCCCATCCCTGCCCCTGTTCCTCCCCCGAGAGAGTGCGTCACTTGGAAGCCCTGGAGACAGTCGCAGTTCTCAGCTTCTTTTCTTATTACATCCATCACTGAGTCAACAAGCTCAGCGCCCTCTGTGTAGTGCCCTTTGGCCCAGTTGTTTCCTGCTCCTGACTGTCCGTGTATGAAGTTGTCTGGTCTGTAAAGCTTGCCGTATGGACTCTCCTTGATGACATCCATTGTTCCGGGCTCAAGATCTACGAGGACTGCTCTGGGGACGTACTTTCCGCTTGCTGACTCATTGTAGTAGACAGACGCCCTGTCTAGTTGGTAGGAATTAGAGCCAATGTATGCACCATCGCCATTTATTCCGTGCTCGTCGCTGATTATCTCCCAGAACTTGGATCCTATCTGGTTACCGCACTGGCCTGTTTGTAAATGGACAATTTCTCTCATTACAGGGGCACAAGGAAAAGAATAAAATAAAAACCCAAGGCATGGAAAGAGAAGCGTGAAATATTAAAAATAAAATAAATAAATGAAAAATAGAGGAGATAGATACTGCAGTAGTGGACAGATGAACAAAGGAGCGCATGCAGAGATGGGCAGGTAGGTATGCCAATGGGCAGGCAGATGGATGGTGTAATAGCTAGGTAAATAGCTATGTAAATGGATGAACAGTGTAGTGAGGAGGTAGAAGGTATAAATGAAATGAGCAGTAGCAGTAAAATGATTAAGATACTTAACAGAAGATTGAGATGGCAGTGAATGAATAAGAGCATATTTAGGGATAATTCTCTGTTTATTATGCAAGTATTCTAATGGAGATAGATTGAAAGAAAGAGAGGCAAGAATGGGGCATATTGCAATTGGATTGGGAGTGTAGGGCTATTCTCCTATGATGTACTGTTTATTCAGTGCTTTGGTAATTTTCGTTCTCTTCCTGGATGTCTTTTGAAAATATTTAATATTAAATTGAAATAGGAGCACAAAAATAGCCATGGCAGCATATACGGCCCTTTACAGCCACAGAAACGCCTTGATAGACGAGTCAGAGAGCGAAGGAATAAACAGAATTATTGTGTACTCTGCTGCAGAAATACTGGACCATGTGCTGAGAGAGAGAAAAACAGACCTGTTTCTGCGAATAGTGGAGTACAACGGGAAGAAAGTGAGCGCCTGTGTACTGGAGAATGGGTATAAGGTGTTTGCTGTCTTCCACAGCACAGAAGACGAAAGGGAGGAGATGAAGAGACTCCGCGAGATATTTCGAGAGAAAGTTGTAAGGGGAGAATTTAATGCATTTGAATTTTAATTTGCAAATGAATCTGGACACGAGCAGACGGCTCATAAAAAAAGGAAGCGATGCCATTTTGCTCACCCTTTTGGAAGAGACAGAGGACAAAGAGAGCCCCAAAGTGGTAAAAACAGCAACTGTCAATAAGAGACACAACAGGCAGGGAAGGAGGCAAAGGGTAATCGGGAAAAGCAGAATAATCGCACACTCCAAAACAAAAGAAGAGAAAGATCTGGAAGAAGAAGAAAACACAAAAACACTCACGGAAGGAGTAGACTTTGCAGGCGTATACGGGGAGATAGACGTAAACGAGGGAACGTACTTAGTGTACATTAAAGAGTCTAGGAAAGTGGGGAGACTAAATGGGAAGGCAGTTTACGAAGTGCTGTCGTGTGGATCGGTCTGCATTGATGGCTTGAACGACCCGATGATCCAGGAGATGCTTGACGACTTTTTCAAGATTCCAGGCCTCTTTTACTCAGAAACAGACCTCTCCACTGCTGGAACACATTTGGAGGAAAACACGGATTTTATTTATAACTACATCCCTCTATCAAAGTATCAGCAAAATAACCCAGATGCAGCAGTGTTTGGGATAAATGTCGTGCAAGGATACTTTGGGCAGGAGTATCTCTCGGGAAAAGTGGAGATGGAGTGCACAATCGTCAGCAGAAGGTCCTGGAGGAATGCAGGCACGCGGTACTACGCCAGAGGCGCTGATCCAAATGGAGACGCAGCCAATACTGTGGAGACGCTGCTAATCGCAAAAACAAAAACAGAGACGTACGAGTTTATCCAGTGCAGAGGGTCAATTCCTCTTTCGTGGGAGCAGAAAATAAATTTATCGTATAAACCTCCTGTTAAAATGGGGAACTCCGACTTGAGCAGGCACCTATTCATGAAACACCTGAATGTTCTTAGAAAGAGATATGGGAAGTACATGTTCATCACCCTGCTTGATGAAAAAGGACACGAAAAAGAGCTGAACAGCGAGTTTACAAAGTCACTGCAGGAGACGGGGTGCAAGTATCTGGCAGTTGACTACCACCGGATGATGAAAAGTGCGGAAGAGAAAAAAGAGTTTAAAAAGAGCCTGAAGGATGCTCTTTCACACGAGGTGATGCTGAGAACCAACTGTGTAGACTGTTTGGACCGTACGAATGTCGTGCAGTCACAGCTCTCCAAAATAAAACTCGTTGAGATGCTCGGACTGGAAGAAGAGTCTGAAAATGGAAGCATTCTCGACATTGACGACTATCTGAATGAAAGCTCAGTTAAAAAGCTAGGACAGCTTTGGAATAGCAATGCCAATGCGCTGTCTATGCAGTACACGGGAACATCAGCACTGAAGAACGACTTAACAGAGCACGGAGTAAGAACATTTAAGGGTCTGATCCAGGACGCGATCAGCAGCGGCAAGAGGTATGTGAACAACAACTTCACAGATGGAAGGATGCAGGAGATCATTGAACTAGTTACAGGAGTCAGACAGACACTGGGAAACTGTATTAGGGGAGACAGAAGGATAGGAATATATTTGGTGTTGGTCAGCATACTTATTGCATGCTTGTACAAGCACTCGTACTATGCAGGTAATGCTGCATTGGCTTGTGCAGTTGTTTCATTCAGAAGCGTGCTGGCTGTTTACCTATCTTTTCCATCTCCCCGAAAGAGAGTTCAGGGCGAGAAAGAGAATGAAAAAGTAAAAAAAAGAGAATAGAAGACTCAAGCAGGAATACTTGCAAAAATAAAAAGCGCAGAGAATAAATACGAAGAGACGCTTATGAATAAACAGGTATTTTCTAACTATAGTTTATTCTTATTTTCAGGATCTTTTTTCTAGTTGGCAACTATCGTAAATTCAATCTACAATTAATATATCAAATTTACAACATCTCGGAGTTTAATCTATAATCCATATATCAATTCCAAAGATCACAAAAAATAAGTATAAATACATTTACATGTTTGACAAGCGCGGACATGAATACAACACAATTAGAAACTAAAGAAGAACCAAAGGATAACCAGACGGTAAACACAGTGACAAAAGTCACCAAGACACACAGTAAACATCCTACGACCGGCAGCCGCAAGCCTGCAACCAATAAAGCACCACATTATCTTCAGACCAATTTCCTCATTGACTTTTACATCAGACATGGTGTAGTTCTTTCATGGAATCACCACAATTTTTATTATTTTATTCTAATTTAGTTTTATGTTATGTGTATAAAGTGTCTAGTATAAATTAAGTGCCAGTTTAGCACTGAATGGTGCTCGAGAAGACTGCTAATAGAGAGAATTATACCATGAATGGATGGCATCTTCTGTTTTTAGTGAAAGTTTTTCTGTAGAATTATTTATATTTGACACTTAATATTTTATTGAATTGCACTCTTTATATAGATTGAAAAATAACTCAGCCAATCCAGCGTTGCAGAGCAGTAGATACGTAATTTAGCTAAGCAGTGGTAGAAAAGACTAAAGCCTCCTGTGTAGAGCAGCGAGATGAACTAGATTGCTGTCTTCTAGGTATTTTCTGTAAATTCTATTATTAGTCTATTGCTATCATTATGTGTATACACTTTGTACTGAGATGTGCTGTCCACTCCTATTTCATTTATATTTTTAATGTCAGCTGATGTCAGCTTGCCAATTTGAAATCCTATGTACGAGAGTTTTTTAAAGTGTTTGCCATACTCAATAAGGGTATTTAGGTCTAGATCTACAACACTGGTTATCTCAATCGTTACCTTCTCAACAGAGTCAGAATTTAAGTGCAGGCACACAGAGTCTCTAAGAAAAAGCATGAATTTCTCAGTTATTTTGTCTTTATGGCTGATTTTGAAGGCTATTGTCTTGATTGCCTTATACGCGCCAAAGGGAAACACGAAGTTGCTCAGATACGGAAGAAATCGAGAATCGGGCTTGGCAGCTTCTGTGAAACTTGAAATAAATAGAGAGCTAGTTTCTAGGCTCATGCGAAACTTCATATAGTACGAAACTATATTAAAAAAAGTTTCATCGATAGCAAGAGGAAATTTGACGTCTATAAGGATGGGGTTGTTCACTTTAATGTTGCTAAATCCCAGGTCTTGGTAGATGTTGTTGTTTATGTAGCAATTTGTAATGGCTATCTCTTCTCCTATCTTCCTGTTTTCGTCGATGATCTTTTTTTCCTTCTCGGAAAACGTATGGTACTTCTTCTGAACTTGGCTTATGTTTAGATACTGCACGTTTCTCTTAATCCGCGGGAGCAGGCTCTCCTCATACTTTTCGTCGTATCCGTAGAACACATTTTGCATGTACAGAGCATACAGGTTCTTAATTTTCTTGATGAAGGTAAAGTCTGGAATTTCTTTAAAAACCGTTCTGTGAAATTCCAATATTTTCACAGAAGACAGATAGCGCAGACTAGAAATGCTCTGCGTGTTGGTTATGTTTACCATGCTGATTGATAAATTGAAGTGTACATTGTGTATAGAATGCAAAAAGTGTTCGATCTCTTCCTCCTCCACTGCTTCTATTAATAAGGTGTCGACCCATATTGTGGTCTTTAAGTTTTTATCACCAAGTAGTCTTGTTTCTTTAAAGCCCAGAACAAGGAGCTCTTCAAAATTCTCCATGTCTTTAAAAGTGCTCGAGTGCAAAGACACATTGCACAGCTTGACCTCGCTTGCAGAGCTAAAATATTTGAACTTTGAAAACCTGAAGTTCTCAGACAGCGCAAAGTTTTGTACAACAATGCGATCCTCCACATTCTCCTGCAGGTCTACAAACATCAATATGATGTTCAAAATGTCATCGCTGCAGCTAGTTAGCTCTGGAGAGATGCATACTCCTATGCTGGCTTTGCTATACAGGCCGTATGAGTAAGGTGTTCTACTCTCTGCTGGAGAAATTAAAAACTCTATGACGTAGGATAGTGCAAAATGATCAGTTCCAAATCTGATAACTTCCTCTTTTAAGTGTCTTGTGACTAATTTGACAAATGCATTGTCTTTAGTAAAAAGCCCATTTGAGTTCCCTTCCACGAGCTTAAAAGTATCAGCATACAACTGCGCTATTTTGCATAGGCTATTACTGACTGTCTGTTCGCAGCCACTCAAGCCATTTTCAGTAGAACCAGAATCTTTTCTCTGTTTCTCATCTATTTTATTATCATCAGATATCTCTTCCATTGAGCTTCTGCCCTTTCCATCTTCTTGCTGCATCCAAATACCAGTAAAAATTATTGCCAGCTATATTTATAGCCACTGCTGCTGACGAAAATAGACCAATACAATGTCTCAACAAACCATCCTATTACAGCTGGCAAAATAAAAAGCAGAACCAATCCTTTTCAAGCTCTGAAATTAACCGTGCATTGATTGGGTAAAGTTCTTCAGTTAGTTAAATACATACTAGAAAAGCTCTCTATTTTTATTTCTATTTGTTGTGCAAATTATTTTAACACTCACTAACTCATTTTTGAATACAAAGCAGTATGGATTTTAGCTTTTATTTTAAAAAATAGACTTTGCAAAGTATAAAAAGGAAATACAAACACACATTTATTTAGCTCAATTTCTAGGACAGAATACAGATGACTGGATGAGTACTTTTAAGTATTTCGCGCAAAGACTATGTTTGTTAACTTTCTATCATCATCAGTATATATATCATAGTCAGGTATGTTATTTATTCTGGAGACAGCTTTACTTCTGGTTTGTAAAAGTTTGTAATTTTCAAGCTGCACTTCTTTTATATTTTTAAAATACCTGCTAATTTCAAAGACAGTGTTTATGTTTATAGGAGCAACTACTTCTGATGTAAAAAATACTTCTTTAATGTCGCTGGGATGTGTATATAAAAATAGCATTTTTACAAAGAAATTTACAAATGGCTCTGTTATTTCATTTTCGTGGTAGAATTGCAAGTATAAACGCTCAAAGTTTTTGCAAGAGCTATAAGGCAGCACAACATGAGTTTTATGGGCATGGAATATAGTATCTGGTTTGTTAGATTTTGTAAAAATTGAAAGAGAATAAGCATTGAGTGTCATATCTACATGAAAATACAATCTGTATGATACTACATCTGAGAAGCTATTGTCTTTAAGAAGAGAAATTGTAATATTCATACAGCTGAAATGTCTTCCTTTGACTTTGCTAAGTCCTAAATCATGGTAGATACTATTATTCACATCAATAGACGATGGGGCAATCTCTTCTCCTACCGTTCTATTCTCTTCAATAATCTTTTTTACTTTTTCCGAGTATGTCTCGTATTTATGCGAGACTTGGCTTACATTCAAGTAATCTACATTTTTTCTAATCTTTGGGAGTGAGTCCTCACTGTACTTCTCATCATATCCGTAAAATACATCCAGAATCTTTAGATTCTCCAGATTCTTGCTTTTCTTGATAAAAGTAAAGTCAGGCACTTCTTTAAACACCACTCCATTCAACTCAAATGAGTTTAGAGAAGATATATAGGAGAGACTAGAAATGATCTGAGCATTGGACAGACTTACCATTCTGATCTTTAAATCAAAAGACGAATACTTTGCATCTGTGGAGCACAAAAAGCGCTCAACCTGTTTTTCCTCCAGCTTCTCTATCAATAGATATTTTAAATTTGGTATGCTTATTTTTACATTTCCATCGCCAAGTAGCACCGTTTTGTCAGCCATTACCAAGTTTTTAAGTGTTTTAAGATTCTCTATGTCCTTAAAGGCATTAGAGTGTATCGATGTGCAAAGCAATAGCATCTGCTCTAGATCAGCAAGACAATTGAACTTTGACAGCACAAAGTTTTCAGAGAGTGAGGCATTGTATATACTAAGAATATTTGCTGATCCATACTGCAAGTCTACGAAAGTCAATAAGATGTTCAAGAGGTCATCACTACTCCCAACCAGCTCGGGGGAAACAGCTATTTGTACAGAATCATCTTTAACGGTTCTATACTCGTACCTTCTTCTGTTCTTCACAGGCGCAACTAAGGAGTCTAGTACTGTGCTTAACTCAATACGATTTCCTTTAAAAGCAAGGACGTTAACATACAGATAGTCGGTGAATAGCTTAACGAGTGCATTGTCCTTGGTAAAAAGCCCGTTAGAGTCTGCTCCTAGTAGCTTGAAAGAATTGCCGTATCGGTCCACTATTTTACACAAACAATCGCTGACCATCTGTTTGTGATCAACTGGACTGTTTTCAGCAGAAGCAAGAGACAAAACTTTTTTCTCTTTTTCGATCATGGCGCTATCGTTAAATGTTTCTTTAGGCGTACCTCCTGTTTTATCCTTGCCGTATTCTCGCTTTATCCAAAACCCTGCACAGATTACTACGAGTACAACCATAACAAAAAACCCTGTTCTAAGCGCTCTGTTCTTTCGGGGCATGTTTTACTGTTCTGAGCTGTATTTATAGCTGTCAAATCATCTTGGAGCATGGGCCAATGGTATGGAAATAATAAAGCATCCTATTACAGCTAATAAAGCATCCATTAGAAATAAAGCACTGAATACTAAACAGAAATAAAAATATTTTCATTGGTGCACTCATGGGCTTGGCGAGCTAGCTACAAAACATAGACAGGACGAAGTAATGAACGGGCTGGGCATTGTATGGAGCAACTGCAAGTTTTCTAAGATGTATAAAACTGTAAATATCCGCACTTTCTGTAGAAAAAAGAATGTCAACTTCAGTACGCTCTTAATAGTGCAAGATAGTTTGTCATCCGTTAAGTAGATATACAATATAGAAAGAGAGGATTGCACTGATGTAATGCATATAGCGGTTGAAAAGCATTTTGATCTGAACTACACACACCCCATGTGGTATATATACAAGCGATGCGAGTACGCAAGCTATTTAACTAGAAAAGATCTTTGTTTCAGGCTGGCTTCTTTCATGAAAACAAAAGATGGAACAACTATACTCAGACCGCACGCGATAAGCAAGGAAGACGATAGTGCAATGAAAGAAGAAAACATAAAAAGCTGTATTGGAGCATGGTTTTTGTCTTCTGCTAAAATTATTACCAGAGAAGAAGATGGCACAGAATACGAGGAATTAGTTAGTGATTTTGTTGACAATTTACAATATATACCGGATAAGAAATTCCAAATAGAGAGAACAAGAGAATCATCAAAAAGAGTAATTTTCTCGTCTTATACGCCGCTAGGATAGTATCACCCTGTAAACATGCAGTTAGAAAGAAGTTGAGAGAACGCACTAACTTAGACTAGCCGATTAATAAACTGTTCATCTACTCATCTATTTACTGTAAATACCGTCTAAATAGTCTAAAAGTTATTGGTTCAGTACAAAATATTTAGAAAATATTTTTATTGATTAATTTTATGGCATTAGCCAATCTGTTCTGTGCAACGAACTATTTATTGGTTATTGTATTTAAATAAATTTGCACCAAAAAAATTTTAATGATGTTCAGCATGGCCAATATTACTAGTATGCTGCCCAGAGAATCTACAATTATCCAATCCACTATATTAAATGCTTTATGTATAATACAGCTATTTATTACAGAGAAATTCGAAAAAGAACTGCAAAAAAAGTCTGATACAGACCCTTTTGAATACGAAGATCTAGAATCAGAAGATCTAAACAAACAAATCATAGAAATAGCAAAGCTATTTATTCCTTTATTTGCAGTACAAATTATTCTACTGATAGTAGGAAGCGTGCCAGAAGCAACACTAGGCTCTATAGCCAATTATTTTGGAGTAATCGCCCAAAACAGCTCTCTAGAAATGGCTCTCAACGCATTCGCACACTACTTTAAACTATTCTGCATTTTTCTTCCCTTTATTCTGGCAATCTTTTACATATATAGATATACAACAAATTACAGTATGAAAAGAAAACAAGAAAAAGAGGAAAAGAAAATTGCATGTCTTATATCTATTACAATAGGATTTATTTTTCTTTGCTTAATGATTCAAAACTATTCATTCATGTATAATGGAATGATAAAGCCTATAATGGCAATTGCTGTAAGCAAAACTCCTCGTTTGGCAATGTTTATTTCTCGAGTTATATTCTATATGTATACTATTGCAGAGGGCTTCTGTCTGACACACAGTATATATTCAAAAGGCAAAAACTTCAGAGAAAACAGAAAACTACTACTAGCAGAAGGCGTGTATCTGTCCATACTTGCAATAGCGATGGGTATAGTCACTTTGCATCTAGTGATGTCTACAAACATGCTACTAGATCTACTTAGAGCTCTCAGTGCGCAAAAAAATAATCAATAAGTGGACAAACGCGTCAAATTGATTAGAACACGGAAATAAAGATAAATCATTTTCCATCGCACATTTACTTTGCTGAGTGGCTATATTTTTATTTTTCACCATTAGTTGCCAACGAAAATACTCTTATTGGATGCTCTGATGATATTAGCCACTCTTTGTAGCGAACTATTTATTGGTTGTTTGTCTTAATAAATTCGCATCAAAGGAGAAGTTTCAACGATGTCTATTATAAATTATGCTGCTGATATGCTGCCAAGCCAAACCACGATCATCCAATATGTAATTTCAACTATAGTGTACAAGGTGCAGATTTTTACTCTTGAGGATCTATTCGGCATAAAGATGGAGCTGGGCTATTTCGGAAAGGCTTTGGAATTGCCAACTGTGTCGAAAGAAAAGAAAAAAATACTCTTCATAGAAATACTAAAAATCTTAGGGCTGGCTTTCGCAGTGCAAAATGTCCTATTATGTGCAGGGAAGGCGATAGAAAAATCAGGCAACTTTATAACTAACTATTTTGGCGAAATATTCCAAGGAAGTGTCATATCCATGGCTCTCAAGGAGTATGTGTACTACTTTAAGTTATTCTGCGCCTTTCTTCCGATTGTCATGGTGCTCTACTACACGGTTATGTACACAATTGAAAACATGAATAGAGCACGCACTAGAAAGATGGCAGCAGCTTTTATCTCAATGGGCGCAGGAGTCCTGGTTAGTTTTCTGATGATAGGCAACTATCTGATTCTGCACAGCGACCAAATAAGAAATATCTCGATGGCTATCTTTGGAAAGACTCCCAGTCTGATAATCCTGAACTTCCTAATTTTCTATATATACTCCATTGCAGAGAGCATTTGTCTTGCGCGCAATATGAGCAAAAGAGAAGAAAAAATCAGAAGAAACAAAAGATCATTGGTAATGGAGGGCATATACCTCTTTATACTTGCACTCTCTATGTCTATAGCCACCGTCTATGTGGGAATGTCTGTGGGCATACTGCTAAGCCTATTCAGATCGCTTACGAAGAAAGTAAGCAAGCATGGAGTCGACAAAACAGGGACTATTATAAGCTGAAAAAAATAAACCATTTATCATGTAATTCTTTTACGAGGCTGCGCATTTTAATTTTGTTCTCGCATTGTATTCCAGTGGGCAATATTACTGTTTCTATTGGCTACTCTGGTGATATTAGTCACGCTTTGTAAAGGATTGTTTATTGGTTTTTCTGTTAATAAATTCGCATCAAAGGAGAAGTTTTAACGATGTCTTTCATCAGTGATGTTATAGAAATGCTGCCCACCAAAACCACGATCATTCAATCAGCAATATCAAATGTAGTAAATACAATACAGGTGTTTGTTCTGGAGAGTATATTCAACGTAAAAATGGAATCAGGCTATAAAGGACACGCTCTTAAACTGATAACTTTTCAAACAAGAGATAGAACAAAAACCATCCTAGAGATAATGAAGATTTTAGGGCTGGCATTTGCAATACAGAACGTCCTACTGGCTGCAGGCAGCGTAACAGAAACATCTGGAGATTTCATAACCACCAATCTCAGTCTGCTGGCTCAAAAGAGCACTCTACTTATGATTCTCAAAGAGTATGTACACTACTTTAAAATATTTTGCTCTCTTCTTCCGATTATCATGGTGCTCTACTACACAGTTATCTACACAATCGAAAACACGAATAGAGCGCGCACCAGAAAGATTGCAGCAACGTTTATCTCGATGGGCACAGGTGTTATGATCAGCGTGCTGATGATAGGCAACTATCTAATGCTCCACAGCGAAATGGTATGGAATTTAACGGTGTCCATCTTTGGAAAGACTCCCAGTCTGGTAATGTTTAACTTCCTAATCTTCTATACATATTCGATTGCAGAGAGCATCTGTCTCTCTCGAAACATAACTATAAAAAGCAAAAGATTTAGAGACAGCAAAAGATCGCTGCTGCTAGAGGGTGTATACCTCTTTATACTTGCAATGGCAATGTCTATGACTACTGTGTACATGGGAATAGCTGTAAGTATGCTATTAAATCTATTCAGAACACTCACGAAGAAAATAAGCCAGAAAGGTGTTTGCAAATCGGGACTTATTATAGCGTAAAAATAAAGACAAATCATTTTCTGCCATATTTACTTTTTTTACATGGCTGCTTTGTAATTTCATTATTCCTTTTTTACTTGGCAGTGAAGGCACTTCTATTGGCTTCTTTTATGATACTAGCTGTGTTTCCAGCGAACTATTTATTGGTTGTTCTTCCTAATAAGTTCGCAATAAAGGAGAAAATTTGACAATGTCTATTATAGCCTATGCTATCAGTATGCTGCCCACCAAAACCACGATCATCCAGACAGCAATATCACATGTAATTTACACAGTACAGCAGCTTTTTCTAGAGAAAACTCTCAGAATAAAAATGGAATCAGGGTATCTGTCGGATGCTTTAAATTTGCCCATTGCAAAAAGAGTAAGCAAAAAAAAAGCGGTCATAGAAATACTGAAGGGCCTGGGCCTGGCATTTGCAATACAGAATGTTCTGCTGGCAACAGGCAGCGCAACAGAAGCCTCAGGAGATTTCATAACTAATTATTTCAGCGTAATAGCCCAAAGCAACTCTCTGCCCCTGGTTCTTAAGCAGTTTGTGCAAAGTTTCAAAATATTCTGCACTCTTCTGCCCATTCTCATGGCGTTCTACTATACGGTTATATGCACAATTAAAAGCACAAATAGAGCAAAGAGTAGGAAGATAACAGCAGCCACTGCCTCTACAGCAGTAGGGAGCTTGCTTATCCTGCTGATGATAGGCAACTATTTGATCATCCATAGCGAAATAGTCGGGAAAATAGCAGTGTCTATTTTTGGAAAGAGCCCCACTCTGGTAGTGTTTAACTTTCTGATTTTTTCCATATATTCCATTGCAGAGAGCATCTGTCTCTCTCGAAACATATATGCAAACAGTAAAAATTCTAGAAGAAACAAAAAGTCGCTGGTGGCAGAAGGCGTGTATCTGTCCATCCTTGCAATAGCGATGTCTATAGCCACTGCATACGTGGGAGTGTCTGTAACCCTCCTATTGAATCTGTTTGTAACACTCACGAAGAAAATAATTAACAAGAGAACCAATGCATCAAGAACTATTATGAACTAAGAATAAAGATAGATTATTTCCTACACAATTTCCTTAAATGGCTGTCATAGACAGTTTTCTATTATAATTAAGATCATTTGTGCTCTTAAAATGTCTTTTATAAAAATAAGATGAAAAATTTAATGGAGGAAATATAGCCAGAGAATACTCTGAGTGTGTAATTATGTGCACTCTCCTTTTTAGATGAATAGCAGACAAGTATGGCACGCATACTCTCTGTTTCCTAACTGTTTGATCGCTGCTGTGGAATACATTATTAATCTATCTCTTTCTGTAGGTTTTGAGTGGGTGTGTTTGAGTTTTAATTTAATTTATTGCTTTATTAATTTTTCTGTAATAATTCCTGGCCTTCATAATTCTATTTATTTTTATTTTCCATGAACAGATCGTGTGAAGTGGAACTCCTTTCCTGGATAAAAAGCATACTCTCGCTGAAGATAGACGAAAAGACCGCCAGTCTAATGGATTTGCTGGCAGACGGCTTGGTTCTGTGCAATTTGATAAATGTTTTTATTCCCAACAAGTGCATGGCAAAGCCATCAAATATTGTTTTTAAGAGAATGGAAAACATCGACATGTTTCTAAGAGCGTGCAAAGAAATAGGAGTCCTTGACAGCGAGCTATTCCAGACAGTCGATCTAGTGAACGAAGAAAAGAGAAACCCAAAGCAGGTGGCCATCTGTCTGTACTCTCTCAGCAGAAACCTGAAGAAAAAGTACCCAAAATCAAAATTCAAGGTCATTGGACCTAAGCTGGCAGAGCAGAACAAAAGAGAGTTCTCAGCTGAGCAGCTGGAGATGGGCAAAAAGATAATAAGTGTGCAAATGGGAACTAACAAAGGAGCAACGCAGTCTGGGCACGGCACAGGCGTGCGCCAAATAACTCCAGGTAATGAATAAATTAACTTCCTCAAATTAATTAGCTTTTCCCTGTTTATATTGAATCATTTCTGTTTTCAATCACATGCAGAAAAGAATGATCCTGTGTGCATTTATGATATGCGTGTCTTTTCTGAGACTTATTGCATGCGACAACTACCACTCGCTAGGGAGACAGCGCATTATATGCAATGGCTCTGAGATGAATCTAGCGTGTCTTGGGAGCAGATGGAAAATATCGTATCTGGGAGTGGATGAAAGCATACGCATAACAGAAGACGATGACGCAGTGCGGATAACTGGGCTTGTAAAAACAGGGAAACCTGAAGTAAAAACAGACACCACAATATTCCACCCAGATGGGTATAATATTATCCTGCACTACGACAATGTGTACGAGAAAGTCCCTGAGAAAGTGATGATAATGTGCGGTGCCATTTTTATAACGATTTTTGTAACTGCTGTTTTCTTTCACAGAATAGAAGTGGTGTTCAAGAAAAAACAGAAAGACTTGTAAAATTTTACAGCTACAAATTCAATGGACATTCGCACTCTTCCCATTATTTCTGAAGTGTACGGAGAAGAGGGGTCGGGAAGGAACTCGTTCTGTTTTTGCATTGCAAAAGACTGCAACTCTCTGTGGATAGAAGCGTACAGTAAACTTTCAACCAAAAGGGCATACTCACTGCGCATGGACTTGGAGAGCATTTACATTTGCAAGATTAAAAATATTCACGGCCTTCTGTACAGCCTAAAAAAAGGAGAAATTGGCAATTTTGTGAAAGACCATAGGATAGACGTAATCATCATCAACGGGCTAGAAGAGCTGGAAGAAGTGGGAGAGATAGGAACAAAGAACTACGTAGAAGTAGTGAGCCATTTGAAACAGCTGTACCTTTCATTAAAAGTAAAATCAATTCTTATCAGCAGAGTGCACACAAATATTGCAAATGAGAACAGTGTGAGATACAGCGAGAATATCAGCCCCAGTACAATTTTCACTCTCAACACCATAAATAAACAGAGCACGGAAGAGAAAAAAGAAAGACTGCAGAGTGACATCCTGTACCAAAAGTACTTTAAACAGCATGTTCCTCCGTCCAGTATAAAAGGAACACTCTGGGAGTATGCAATGCCCACAAAGCTCTACATAAAAAGAACATCCAGTCCGTCAGTGCGCATCATCACAGTAGTAAAGCCAGAGATATCGCACCCGCCACAGTATACCATGGAAATAGGCCCAACATCAGTCACTATAGAGAGAATATAGAGAATAAAAGTGTATATGTAGAATAAGAAAGAATGCAAAATAAAAATAAAAAGTGTTAATGTTTACAAGTATTCGTATATTATTTTTATTTTCTTCACATTCTAGCTATTGTAAATTTTTATTCCTGTAAGTGCTTATACTCTTAGCTATCATTATGGCAATAGAAAACAAGTAGGAATGACTTACTACTCTTCTATGATGCAACACTATACAGCTGCTATGATCTATCAATGGTCTTTCTTTTGTTTATCATCCTTTATCACCTATTTTCTTCTAAGTTAGTAGCTATTTTACTTACCATCACACACTCTGTCCTTTTCTATCTTCTTCTACTCTTTCTGCTGGCTTTCTTTCTCATGCTTTTATTGTCTATTGTCTCTCTAATCTAGTTTGATTTGTCTCGTTTGGGCGCGCGTCTGTTTGTTTTTATTTTTATTTTTCTCTTTCTGTCTTCATGATTCTTGGGGTGCCGTCTTTCATTGTGCGCAGAATATTGAAAAAGGGGATGATACGGCAGATGAACGGAATAAGAGAAATATCACTTACGGGAAAGATAATCAGAAGGACAAGAAACACCTGCACTCTATTCGACTCCTTTTCAGGTATCCATGCGCAGACAAGCAATCCAGTCCTGCACTCTGCGATAGACAAGAGCATAAACGAAGACTATCTGGTCCATTTAACGTGTTCATTCGAAAGAATTCCAAGGCCCCGGCTCCTAATAAGAGCAGTCAGACAAGCTACATTCACCGAGGAAATGTACAGAACGATCGAGTCTATTGAATATTGGAAGAAAATTCAGTCACAAAAACAACCAAAGTAACTGAGATCAACAAACATTGGAAAGCATAAAAGCAAAAGACAAATAATGGGAATGCTTAAGGCGCTGCCTCTGAACACAAAAGAAAGAGAACAGTCGGACATGGCTGATTTGGAGATACTTGGAAGCATTTCATTTGACCTGAAAATTAACAAAGAAAGCGAGATTAAAAATGCATTTGTCTCTTTGGTTTCAAAGCTGGGGACAAGAGAGTTTCTGGAAGAATACTCAATCCTGTACTCCAAAATACTCGTTATCCACAAAGAAAAGAGCAACAGCCTGTTCCACCCATGCGTCTCAGAGCTGGAGTTTGAGCACTCTATAGAAGAAGAAAGCTCTTCTACTCCAGAAGAAGTCAGCACAGTGCTGGACTCCTGCATACTAAAAGAGATATCAATAAGCACTGATTATGTAAATAAAATTTAAATAACTATTAACACATAAATCCCTCCTTAAAACTTTAGCAGGCGCTTAAAACAAAAAACAAGCCAAGGATAAACAAAAGAAAATAGTCTAAATACCTTACACAGTACAGCCATGCAAATTCAGCACATACACTCTAAACTAACGGTATAACTATGACCATTCTATCTCCTACACTGATTAAAAGAACCACCAGAACACAATGCTACACATCAGCTGTAAAAGACATAAAAGACATGAATATCAACATAATCTAAGTCATACTCAGTATAAGTACACCAGATCAGCACTGTACTACTTTCTTGCTCTTTTATTCACCGGTGATCACTAAGCGAGCTGAGTTCTGGGCGGGCAATAGTATAAATAATATTTTGCATTTTTACACCATGGGAATACACAAACTAACAGAATTGCTGAAAGAGAAAGCCCCAAAGGCCATAAGAAACAAAGAGATAGAGAAGTACAGAGGATGGAAGGTGGCAATAGATGCCAGCATGATTCTATATCAGTCTCTGGTAGCTATTAGGTACGGAATGGACAGTCTAAAGAACAAAGACGGGGAAAGCACAGCCCACATATACGGGATATTCTACAAGACCATAAATCTGCTGGAGAAGGGTATTGTCCCTGTGTACATTTTTGATGGAATTCCTCCAGACCTAAAAGAAAACACGCTTACAGAAAGGAGAACAAGGAAAGAAGAGGCAGAGAAGGCCATGGAAGAGGCAGAAAATGAAGAAGACAAATTAAAACACGCCAAAAGAACGGTGAGAGCCACCAAGTATCACGTAGAGTCAGCACAGGCTCTGCTAAAGGCCATGGGAGTGCCGTATGAAACAGCGCCGAATGAAGCCGAGGGGTACTGTGCAGCTCTGAATAGAGAGGGCGTCGTTGATGGCGTTGTATCTGAGGACATGGACTCTCTTGCATTTGGATGAAAAGTTTTGCTGCGTAACTTCTTCCCGGCTGTTATGAAAAAAGGCATTTCCGTTATGGAGATATCTCTGGACACGGTGCTTAAGCTCACTGAGCTGGAACAAAGCGAGTTCATCGACCTGTGCATACTCCTGGGCTGCGATTACTGCAAGAGACCGAAGGGCATGGGGCCTAAAAAGGCGTACGAGATTGTCCAGCAGTTTAAGTCGATAGAAAAAGCGCTGGAAAGTGGGAAAATAGAAGAACCGCACGAGAACTGGCCGTACAAAGAAGCAAGAGAGATCTTCACAGGGCAAGAAGCCAGCAAAAGAAAGACTTTTGCTCTGTCTCCACCAAATAACGAAGAAATAGTAAGATTCCTGGTGGAGGAGAACGGATTCGACATAAAAAAAGTAGAAAACGGAATAGTAAGGCTAGAAGCACAGAGCAAAACAAAGAAACAGGCGAGCATGCTCTCATTTGCTAAAAAGGTGTAGTAGCGAACAGTAAATATGTGTTGTTTCGTTTATTAAGTACAGAGTGAACAAAAGAATTTGGAGAATTAAAATTTGCAAAGCAGATCCAAAGTAAAATAAAAACATCTTACAATGTACTTGCCATTTTCCAATTAGCCTATACTCTGGTGCTATATGAATCTCTTCCTGTATACATTGTTGTGCTCCATGTGTCTGTGTCCTCTGACATGTCGCTGCTCGTGAA